GTGTGTGTGTGTGTGTGTGTGTGTGTGTGTGTGTGTGTGTGTGTGTGCTTTTAAACCACAAAGGAGCAGGTGTTAACCCTAACACACACACTTCTTAAAAGGGTTATTACAGCAGCTCGTGTGTTTTCATCATTACGTTCAGCGAAGTTATGATCGTCGGGGCCCTTTGCTCACAGGGGGTCCGTGGCCCCTCGTGGCCCCCCCAGCGCCGGCGCCGCTGAGCGGGCCACGATCACGAGCACCACTCAGGTGCTGCAAATTACAGGGAGGAAGAGGAGGGAGGGAGTTTGAACAACAGTTTGTTTTCCTCGTTTCTGATGGACCCCAGCGTCACTAAAACGCGTTCTTGTTTTTCCTGAGCACGCCGCGCAGAATCAAAGATGGCCGCCCCGCGTCAGCGCCAGGCGGGAACGTTCTGAACGCAACTTATTTTAGCAGCGGAGAAACAGACAATCAGTTCTGGCTGTATGTTAACTCTCTCTTTTTTTCTTCCTCTCTTTTATTCACCCCCCCCCTCCTCCTCCTCCTCCTCCTCCTCCTCACTTCCTTTCATCCCAGATGAGTGTGGAGGGGGACGACAAGCGAACTCGCACTCGGTCAAAGGGAATCAGAGGTGAGTGTGTCTGACGTTAAACACACATTCAGTCACGTTTTGTCGACATGCAAAGATCTGCTGCTCAGCTGCAGCCGCTCATCTTCATCATCATCATCATCATGAAGTTTAGCTTCTTTTTTTTCTTTCAGGCTCTTTGTCACAACTTCAGTGATGTTTAGAACCAGAATTCCTGACAGGCTCAGTTTTATCCACTAATTTTCAGTAGAACTGKACCGGCCTTCATCTCCTCTTCTTTCCTGGTTTTTGGGTAGAGGTCCGGGCTTTGTGAAGGACAGTCCAGAATCCCAACGTCAGTTAATTTAACCCATCAGAGACCAGTCCTGATGGGATCATTATCTTGTTGGACCAATCACGTTTCAAACATCTCGATTTGGAGATAATCCTCCTTAGTTACTTGTTCTGACATAAAGCTGCCACCACCGTGCTTCACAGCTGGTTCAGTTTTCCTCTCAGCCCATGGTCACTGAGGAAAAAGGCCAACTTTAGCCTCAACAGAACAATTTTCCTTTCACCTGAGGGCGACAGAAGATTATCAGTCGACCCAGTGAACGATGTCAAACAAAACAAAGAGAGCTTCAGTCCTTCTTGTTCACTAACGAGATGCTAACGAGACGCTAACGAGATGCTAAAGAGATTTAAAACCACATTAAAGTGAAATAAATCTGAGAATCAACAAATTCAAACTCGTTTCTGAACATCACTGAAGTTTGTGCACGAATAAATCTTTAAAAGCCTCCTGCTCACGATGAGCGCCCAGCAGATTCCCACCTCATATTAAAAGCTCCTGAACAAAGTCAACTTACATAAAGAGTAAAGAAATGTGTGTTTGTTCGATTATTTCTTTGTTGTAGAAATAAATCTTACATCTGCATCTGACTGGCAGCACCTGAAGGGAGCAGAAGTTMGAAGCAAAATAAGCTGTTTGGCASAGAAGAATCTGCAAATTTTTCATGTGCCGGGTTGTGCACATGAAAAACTAAACTCAGGCTGTAACGATACACAAGATTTACGATTCGGTTTGATTCGATACTTTAGTCTCACAGTTTGATATTTTTTCAAAATTTCCATGTCCTTCTTAACTTGTAATTTATTGAAATTAATTATGAACATTTGTTTAACCTCAAAAGTACAGCTTTTAAATTAAATGTTGCTGAAACAGCAAGTTTCTCAGTGGATCTGCGCTCAAAAATGCAGCCTAGGTGGAGTAGTCGAACACAGATCCACTGATCCTTCAACACAGAGCATCTTCAGAAGCAAGTTGATAAAGTAAATTTTAAAAATCTGTATTGTTCAATACAGATTGGTTTGGTTCGATACGGGTACATGTATTGTTGCACCCCTAATAGCTACATGTGTAACAGCACGTTTGTGCGTATCTAAATATTATTGGGGTTAAAGGTAATATATTTTGCAAAACAGAGTGATCCGTGCATATATGTATGTATGTGTACATATATACTGTATATGTATATGTATATAT